TTGCAACTCGTAACATTCAACGGTTCTTTTGTTTCAGTACAATATCGGTTCGGCCTCGATAGCAGCTGATATCTCGGGTTGATCAGATAATTCCCTTTTAGGGTCCATATTGCCTAATGCCAATAATGCGTAAATGACAAGGAATATAATTATCTTTCCATTCCTATTTTCATTTAGTCAGTGAAATGTATAAAAACCATTGAATGTGATATAATCTATACTAGTCTGTAAAATGCACAACACGACACAAACTTTCATCTAAAAAATACATCTATTCGTCATAGCACTTTCTTTTTTATTACGGTACGAATATGTTTAAAGTGTGGTGACGTACGCATATACCAAATATATCTAATCGAGATATCAAGGAAAACATACATATAAAAATTATATACGATACAGAATAATGGTCCTCGTGTATACGTCTCAATGCCAAGTGCAGAGAGAGGCTCAACACGCATAGCAGGAAGAGAGACATCAAAAACATCTTGTGTATATACACTGGGAATGATACATTAACCGTTAAATGAACGGTTGGAACCATTTATGTGAACCGTTTTTCAATTAGGTACAAACTGAAACCAATAATATCTAACTGCTAAATCTAGGCTTAAACAATACAAAATACTTTACGTCACGGTACAAAGGCACTACTAAGCTATCTAGGCTTTCCGATGGTGTGCTTAGTGTCTCACCATCATCGTGAATGAAATTCACGATGATTGAAGTTATTCACAGGATAAGATTCAAAAGTCAAAGGTTTTCTTTCACTGAAAGTTATTTCCAATACAAAATATAGCTTTGTCCACAAACCTTGTTTAATATATTATGCACTCCATAAAATCAAGAAGAGATAAATGCTGACCATGACTGATGAGATCATATACACAGTGCTAATTTATCACAACACAAAAGGACCCATGCAAAAGTGTCTCTCTTGTAAACCAAAATCAATCTATTCAGTGTCTTAACCTAAGGGATGCGACACATGGTCTAGTTCTTAACATGGGGATCATGAATGGACTTTAGCGGCTCCGTGAGGATCAGATAAAATGAACATTGTGTATTGCATAATAAGTTTTTTTTTTTTTTGCATAAAGAGTATTTTTTTTACATTGTTTACTTTATAATTACTTTGCGTATCTCAAGCATGCACGAGACAATGAAATTTCAATAAATAAGGCATATTATACACATTACATGCAAAGTTGTGTTGAAGTGACTGTTTTTGGGAAGGAGATCCATATTAATTGATCACATGTTATACATTCCCTGCCAGTTTTCTTCTCCCTCAAACAAATATTAATATCGATAGGCCTATATAATGGGTAGGCGTAACGACTTTTACATCTAAAATACAGAAGGGATTATTGGTCGCCTCATGGACGCCATTTCAAGTCGTTTCTCATGGAGGAATCGGTGTTTCAAATTCCTACCAGTTCCGGAGTTCGTCCAGCACGCCCTCTAGGTGCGGGTTGCCTCCTAGTTTGGCAATCTCCTCTCTCGCTTCGGCCTCCAGTTTCTCCAGGGTTTCTTTGGTGTGCTCAAGGGAACCAAACTTCTCCAAGAGGGACACGCAGTAGCGTTTAACCTCCAGGTCTTTGGGTCGCTGACGAAGGATGTCTGTGGCTTATGGTTAAGGTTAGCCAGCAAGCAAAGGGATCACGCATTTAAGGTTTTCGTCAAAGTGTTTAATTATCTTAAATCTCATCTTTACCTATAAAAGATATATTCATCCCTTTCCCAACCCATAATTATATTCAAGAAAATACATAGTAAATATGTACGTTCCCATGCAAAAAACTACACATGCGCACGTACACATAGAAAGAAGCACAGACAACTTCAAAACAATAACAGAGAAAGTGCTGCCGCCTGGTTGCCAATAGTAGTTATCAGTAGTTACTATGCATATATGTGGTTGTCCCAGAATCACCAAATTAACGGTAAAAAATGTAACATCAATATCCCAGAGGCTACCTTCAGAACCTCCGAAATGAAGCAGAGAGAATAACAAGGCCACCAGACCCTGCGACTCCTTCAAAATTCCTCAGATAACAACCGCGTAGTTTCCTCGAAACAATCAGGTGTTCTGACAATACGGTAAAAAATCGCCATTACGTCCGGAGATAAGATAAACAACCTAAGACGAAAACGAAAGCCGATATCAAACAACCTGGACAGTACTGAATACCCTGCAGTAAATGCGATAAAGCTTATTAAAGTAATATAGGACGTGGTTTCAGTTTTAGGATCAGCTTACATCGTGCTGACGTCCATAACCACAAAACTCCCAACGCAGTGGTGGTGCATGTGGTTGAAACTGGGAATTAACCGGATTGGAAGTAACTGAAGGAAAGCAAGAGTGATCCACTGAAGAAACAAAAAAAAAAAAAAAAAAAAAAAAGTTGCATACATCGCGACGGAGGAGAATGTAAACACCGCATCGGGCAGCTCCAAATGATCCAAGGTATCTGTAATAATAATTTCACCTCATATCTGGTATATAGTGGTTGGTTATCTCATTAATGTATGTATTTCTGACAAAGGTATACTAGAAACCAGCTAAATGCATCTTTTGTTCTGTGAAGATATTCATTGTCATTTGTATATTTTTTCCTACATTTGCTGCAATGAACACTGTTCAGTGTTAAACGAGGAACAGATATTTCCATAAAAATATTAATAAGAATAATATTAATAAAAGAAAATAAACCAAAATTAAGTCAGGATCCTCTAGACAGACTAGACGGAAAACAATCAATAACTACTGAAAAATAATAGTTTTAAAAATAAAGATTTGTCACTTAAAATCATACCTGCTGTTACACTTTTCTCTAAAGGATACTAATAACTTGCTGGTCGTCAGGTTGACTTTTAATGGCATGGATAACCGGAAAACTGAATTTGCCTTCTGTTAAATCCTCACAGTAGCTCTTACTGTCACAGTACTGCAAAAAGAAAAAGAAAAAATATCTCTCAAATGTAATGGGGGTAAAATCAACATATTTGTGTTTATGTGGATGGGTTTCTACTCGTTACTATTTAGGTTTACACACTCAGTTGATAACTATCCGCCCTAAAGAAGTATTGAAATTTGCTTCAAAGCTGTAATTCATTCGGCGATTTGTATTGTACTTGTCAAATATGGCGGAATTGCTTGAAATATTTGACAATTCTTTTAACCTTTAATAGTTGTAACTTTACTTTCTAATGTTAGTTCATCATTTTAGCAAATATTCGTTCAAAACAGATAATTTTGGAACGGTTGGCAATATCTATACTGTTTTTGTCACACGAATAGTTTTCATTATTTTTTCAGCATTTAATTTTCACTGAAATCTGAAACAGACAGACATATTAATGTAAAACTGTCATATATACTTGATCAATTTCAAAGATTGAGAAATCTAGTTAACACATATTTTACTTGTAATGTACTTAACAATTTATCGATTTATCAGCTTACAAATAGCAAATATATGACATTAATGTGATATTAATGACAGACACTCATTACACCTATAGAATGAGATTTTTTACACATGTCTCTTAAACAGTTCATTATTTTTTTTTTTGCCCTGTATAAGATAAAACATAGTTTTTATATTCTTACCTCTTTCAAGCAAAGTATTGCATAGTCATTACGGATCTGAAAGTACAGCCCCAAAATCCCTATAAGTCTTGAAAAGTCATCCTGAGTTTGACTGAAAAGTTGCATTAAGCGAGTAGCCAAGCCAAATAATCCACCTGTTTCTGGAGAAAAAGAGAGATTTATTGTTTTGATGCGCGAGCTACATCAATAACAGCCAAATTAGCTTCTACTGAAATCCTTGATTCCGGTTAAAAGAGAAAAAATGGAATTTATTAACCACTAACTCAATTACTTGATAAGGCAGGAATCGCCCGGTACAGCCTGCTATATAATACAGATTAACATTAAAACCTTAAAACCTTTTCCAGTGACAAGGCCTATTAGTATACTCACTTCTTATGGTCATCAGTCTGTATTCTTCCTCCGATGGACAAGTAAATGAATCCCTCCAAAAGATTTCCATTCCCTGCCCTCGATGGAGCTCCAACAGCTGCTCGCAAAACACTGTAGTCGCCTAGGATACATACAAAAGAAAAGGTGTAAGATATCAACTCATAGCATTTTGGATACAAGTATGTTGTACATTTTAAAATCAAGATGGTTATATTACATTGTGATCACGCAAAAAAAAATATAAAGTTATGGCATTTTGGGTTCTGACAGCGGTACAAAACTTTGAAATTAGGGGTTATCCTGAATTAAGATGTTCACAGTATCTACATTGATAATGCACAGTCACGGTTTTGAATAAAAATGTCGCAACAAAGCACGTAAATATAATTCCATTCCTATATTTTCTTAATCTGTAATATGAGCTACAAAAAAAAAAATAAATGAATTCTCTAGCTGCTTCTGAGTCTGATAGCAGAAAACAACAGCACCTTTTCTCCTTGTAAATCACAAACTGAAACTGAATCTCTATCTGGTCCATACAATCATTACGTATACATTATGATCAAGCAGTACATTCACGTATATTGCTGACCCTGGCTCTTCGATGAGATGGTTCATCTTTTAAGACCTCATGGGGAAACAAAGATGAAATATATATGCATAAAGATACGGATGGAGTAGATAACAGAACGAATAGGAAATAGTCTAAAACAAACTAAAAAGCAAAGAATGACATTATACAGTAAAGTATCATAATAATGAAATTAACATCGAAACAAAAAGTAAGATCTCTTATGAGATGGATATGTACTATCAAGTTACATATTAAAAAAAAAAAAACGATTACCGGAATATAAAAAAATAATCAAAATTAAATTACACGTTACTCTGCTCCGTAAGTTATTAAGAACAGTTTATGAGGCCCAGTCCTTGAGCCTAGGCAATAAATCGAAACCAATTAGTGGGATACCAGAGATAAACAGCATACAAATGGCTTTCTATAACACGAAAC